CACCCTCCCATCCATGCACTTTTTATAGCTTCCGTCCAGGAGTTCTAGACTAGCCTGTCCAACATGACAAATCCCTGGAGGGGGCATGTGTCTGTGATCCCAGTTATTTGGGAGACTGAGTGGGGAGGACTGATTGAGTCTGGGAGGTGAAGACTGCAGTGAGCCAAAATCACACCACTGCACCTTAGCCTGGAGGACAGAGTGAGACCCTGTCTCAGGAAAAAAAAAAAAAGTCCTCTCCACTCACTAGGATATATACATAAGAACGTTTTAATAGAGGTCTTGGTCTAAAGGGGTATACTCTGAGTGTATTACATTTGAGCTCTCCCCTCTTTCAACAGCGAGTCCCTGGTGGTCACGGCCTGGGTTTCGAAGGAGGCTTCCTCTGGAAACAGGCACAGGGTATCATAACCTGAAGCTGCCACTTCTCTTCCACGTGAAGGTGACGTTGAGGCATCCTCACAGCTTCCCCAGGCACCACCCCAGCCCCACCATGTGGCACAGCCTCACTCCAGCCAGGCCCCGGCCCCAGCCCCCACCTCTGGCTGGGATCCAGACCCAGGCCCACTTCTCACCCTGTGTCCCAAGCCTACTGTGCTCTTCTTTACCCTAGATGAGGGGCTCTGGGGCATCTTGCCTTACACCCCAGCAGGGGGCACATTCTGCCACCTCTACTGTAAAGGAGTATCTTGAATGGCCCTTGCAGAAGCAACCAAAGTGGAAGAGGGTTTTGCCCACTCTCCTCCAAAAGTCTCAGGCTGTCCTGAGTGAACCCACTGCCCACCTTCCCCAGGAGAGGCCGGTCCCCCGCAGTCCCAAGTCAGCTTCCATGGTTTCCGGGGCTGCCACCAGGCCTGAGCTCCCAGAGCACCGGTGGCAAGGAAGGAGTGCCACCGACCAGGAGCAGCCCCATGGCTCACCTAGCAGATTCTGGCCACCTAGAGACCCGCTGCTGCCCCAGAGGGAATTCCCAGGGAGTCTGAAGCATCAGGCAGAAGACACGCAGGGGTCCTGCCTGCCCTCCCAAATTCGGGAAGCATTGAGGTGGATCTGAGGAGATCAGGGACTCTGGGGACCACTAGTAACCCCTCGGTGTCCACAGTCTGTGTTGCTGACAATCCAGTGCAGCTGTGCCTGAGAGCACAGGTGGTCAGTGAGCTCGAGCTCATAGTGCAGGTGGATCCATAGGAGCAGCTGCCAAGCCGTGCCTCTGGCATCCTCCTCCGGGACGGCGCCACGGGCCTGTGCCTTTGGCCGTCAGTCACGTGGACATGCTCCCTGCCATAGACATGCCACCTGAAGTCTTGGCTTATTTCCATCTATGAAGAGATGATAGCTTTGGGTTGGCCATTGGGAATACTAGGTTCTGGTGGCAAACTCCCAGTGACTGTTTGAGAAAAGGCACCCCAAATGGGGTGACGAAGAGTCAATTTCATTTTCCTTTCACTAGCTAAGCAAGGGCGGCCAGAAGAGCTGGCTGCATTTCTGTTGAAAGTGGTCTTACATGGACGTGGCGTCAGAGACCCTCTGCGGACAGGGTGGCTGCTGTTCTTGGGCTCTCTGGTTCCAGAAGGGATGCGGAGTCATGGCGTCCCACTCCTTCCGCAGTGGTGTCATCTGCGGGCAGTCCACCCCCCTTTCCCTTCTTTCTTCTGTCGCAGCTTCATCACTGCCTTCTTGGCGATGAGTCTCCAGCAGCTTCTGCACGTCAGGGTGGATGAATGTGCACTCACCTGCCTCCGTCTGCTGGGGTGTGGGGTCTCCCCAGAAGGAAGGCTCTGGGGGGTGGTCGGGAAGATGCCGCTGCTGGAATTTGCCATGTGAGCAGGTGGAGAGGCCCCACGTGGTGGCAGCCTCCTTCCACCAGGAGAGATCCCCGGTGGGCTCGCTGGAGCACCCAAGGCCAGAGATCACCGTGGTTGGAGCCGGCGGCCGCTGCTGGTGAGGCGAACTGTGGGGGCCGGGGAGTGTTGTGGAGCCACACGGAATTCCAACCAGGCTGGAGGCACATGGGGGTGGAGAGGAGGCCGCGAGCCCATGGGGCTGTGGTGAAGGAAGAACAAGCGCATGTGTCTGGGGTTCACGGCGTTTTAGGGGAGGCAAGGGCTCCGGTGGCCTGGCGGCACTCAGGGTCGAGTGTGATCCAAAAGGCTCTGAGGAGGTCATCCGGCCTGGTGACAGCGTGGAGGCCAGAGGAGCCGGGGAAGCTGGTGGGGACAGGCAGGATGAGGGGCCCAGCAGCCACGTGGGCCAAGTCGGAGGTAGGAGGAGGAGCTGGGACCTGTGACATGTAGGTGGCCTGGGGCAGGGAGGTGGGGGAGGTGGGGAGATGGGCCAGCTGGCACTGCTGTTTACCGTGCGTTGTTTATCCTCCCACATCACTTTTTCAGTCTCCTCAGCCATGCATTGCTACCTATCGCCCCCATGTTGTTTGTGAATCCTTCCAAGGATAGGCAGGGACATTTAGCGGGTGAGGGCCCCTCATCTCTGCCCCACCTCCATTGCTCGGCAGGGACCAGTGGCAGCTGCTGGGGTTGCCCTGACCGTTTTCCTTGGCTAGCAGCTCTCGGTGGAGGGGAGCTGCCTACTACTGGAGCTGCAGGATCCTTGGGCTGGGTCTCCTTCCCCGGGATCTGCAAGCCTGAGGAGCTGGGTAGCTGCTCTTTCTCCAGCACCTGAGAGGCCGCTTTCTCTGGCCAGTGGGAGCAGCACGGAGCTGGGCCAGGGAGCACTGCTGGAGCTGGGTCAGGCTTCCCAAAGGGAAGGACGCCTCCTGCAGGGCTGTGTGCACTGGGCACTCCATGGGCCTTGGATTGGACACTTCCCTTTAAGGCCCTGGGACTGCAGTCGAGGGAAGCGAGGTTTCCCTGAGTCTCCAGGGGCCTCGAGGTAGATGCTGTTGGTTCATTGCTACGGGGGCCCCCTTTCTCCTCCTCCTGCCCCTGGGTCTCTACCTCATCGTCCATTGGTTCTTCCGGCTCTTCTGCTGTCGCCTCCATTGGTTCTTCGGCTCTTCTGCTGTCACCTCCATTGGGGCCGACACTTGTAGCGAAGGCAGCTTCATGGGGCTTCTGTGGGTCAAGTGCCTTGCAGACGGCACAACTTTCTTCCTTGAGGGTGGCCTCCACACCGGAGGAGGCAGGGCCCGCCGTAGGGCGCTCGAGGTTGGGGTGAAATTCCTTCCAGATGCAAAACGGGACTGTAGACCCCGTGATGACTCAAAAATCAAGCAGGGTATTGGGTTCCCAGTTGAGGCACACACATAGGAGCTGCAGGGTGAACCCGGCCAGCTGAAAAGTTCGAAGGAACAAGAGGAGACCATTGGGGTTGCCACTGCTGCCGGGGCCTGCGGTGGAACCGGTAAAAAAAGCTCCTGCGTTTTCCCATATTATGGGAAATTCCCACAGACGAAAGGTAAAACATCAGTAACAGACAGTATACGCATGAGTCTACTACACCTGAGTGTGTACACCCACTAGTCTGTGGCCAGCAGGCACTGGGTGGCTGGGCTCTTATGACATCACAGTGGGGCTGGTGACAGAGCAGGGTGTGGGGCAGTGCACAGGAGCCCAGCAAGAGCACCTACAAGTTGAGTCAAAGGGCACAGGGCAAGTCTCCCCGCCCGTCTAGCTGGACTCTAGCCCCACGGATGTCCTACTCCTGGGGGCAGGTGTGTGGCCCTGGATGGGCCTCACCGTGGGGCTATGGGGAATGCGTGGCTGATCTGCCAGAGCCCTTCCTACCTGGTGCGTGGCCCAGGCGCTGGCTGGCACCCAGTGGCCATGTCTTGGCTGGCCTTGTCCCCTGGGTTACAGCTCTGCTGGAAGCAAAGCTCAGGACTAGCCAGATCCTGCCAGGCTACCCTAGGGCCTCAGCACCTCTCTGCAGCCTGGAGCCAGGCCCGCCTTCTCCGTTGTGGTCTTGGTCTCTCCAGGCAGATTTTAGGAGAGGATGCGTGCCCTGGCTTGACTGGCTGCCGCTCCTTACCACTTCCCTTCCTGGCAGGCAGGGTCTCCACACAGCTCCAGATCACCCCACACAGAGGAAACTGGGCCCCAGCACCTGCCCTGGGAAGGGCTGATGAGCCATGGCCGGGGCCTGTCTCCCACAGAGCCCTGGCCCTCTCCTGGGCCTGTCCTCACCACTAAGCCCAGTGTTGCTTTGTGCCCTGAAGCCTCCTGCCCTGCCCTGCCCTGCCCTGAGGGATCATGAGATTTCCCATCCCAGGAGCGTCTCTCATTGCTTAGGAAAAGTGGAAACCAGGGGAGGAAAACCAGAGAATCTTTCTCTGTAGGGTAGGGGTGGGGGTGGGTCGCTGGGGAGGTGGGGGAGTAATAGGCCCACACCCCAGTGAGGATAAAATCCATCACCCGGGGAGTGGAGCTGGGGCTCAGCCACGTGGCACTAGGGCTCTTCAGACGAAAGAGCATTTTTTCCATCTGAAGTGCAATGTCTCGTCAAGCAATTGAGCCTTGGGCATCCCCTTTGGGACTAGGGACTGGGGCCCAGGCCTGCATCACATAGCTGGGGCCTCCTCCTCACTAAGGGCTCCTGGGTGCAGGGGAGGGGCAGTGGGAGGAGGAGGCTGAAGCACAGTCCCTCCCTCAGCTCCAGCCCCGGGTCCGTCCACCCCACTGGATCTATCAGATCCTACTCCAGCAGCTCACCCTGTCAGAGACAGGCCTGGCTCCATTTTCTCTTCTGTCCCCTGGGACACTGGTGTCACTTTGTTCTCCTTGTCCCCTTAGAGATCTAGGCCTGAGTCCACCCATTTCATAGCCTTGGAAAGTGAATTCTCCCAGGAATTCAGGTGGTTTCCTAAGGATTATTTCAGAATCTCCTCTGTTCTCGTCATTTCCCCACACCCTACGTTTTTTGCTTTCATCAACCCGGGATAGAGCTTTGAAATTCACAAAACTAAAAAGTATAATGAAAATGCGAATGACATTTTTTTAATTAGGAACATAATTTTGAGTTACCCAATTATGGAGATTGTTGTAACAAAACCACAAAAACTCAAACACTTTGACAAATTATGTTCAAAACAAGAATGTCTTTAGAGCTTTTGTATGTTGCTCTGATCCATTTCTTCTTACTCTGCCCCAAATACAGTCCTCACTGTCTGGGTTTTGGAACATGTGCGCACCATAAACCAGGAGTGGCTTGGGATGATCCGAGGTCCAGTTCCTGTGAGTGGAGAGCGGGTCTGGGCACCCCATGCTTGGCTCCAGTCCAGCGTTCAGCAGCCTCTTCTGATCTCACTCATGTCTGTTTGCTTCACACCATGTCCTGTCCTTTACCTCCTGCCTGCTGCAGACCCCTGGGGCCTGATGTCTGGCCTGTACCTGATAGGAAAGATGCTTTGAGCCCTGGAGGAGGTGTTCTCATTATACTATTAGACATCTTTTGGGCAACAGAAACTCAGGATTAGAGACTGCACTGTTTAATCACTATGTGATAAATTTATGTAATACTTGTAAAGTGGCCTTGAAAATAATGTGTATCTTTGTCATGCGTTCTATATAGCCTCAATGGGAGTTAGACCATCTGAGTTTATTTGGGTCTGTTCTCATGAATGTGCATTTCAAAAGCACATCTTCTGTCTACAGTCTCTTCCTTTATGATATTGTCACTAGGGAGGCATGACAGTCCCTGACACTCCCTAATGTGGTCAATTGGGTTAACTCTCAAGAGTGGAGACCCCAGGGATGCCTGCTAGGATCATTGAGAAGCATGGGGATCCCAAGTTGTACTTCATTTGCAGAGACCCTAAACCTGAGAACTGGGTCTCGCCTTGACTAGATGATTGGGCTTGGGCACACAAGGAATCACCTGCCATCAGGCCACTGCCAGCTCAGTAGGTGTGCTCTGTGTGAGGAACAGGGACTGGAGAGCAGAGGCAACGGGTCTCATTAATTCCACATTTAGGGAAGAGGTTTGTTTTAGGTTCCATTCCTCCTCAAACCTGATTCTCTCCTTTCCGGATAAACAAGAGGAGCGCATAGGTGTGGGGGTTCCCAGGCTCTGGTGGATTGTGTCCACCAGACCACATGCTCCTTTGAACAAGATGGGCGATCGATTGCAATGTCTGCAATGCGGCGGTGTCACCCAGTAGGTATGCACTCTTGTCTTGGTGTATGTACATGACTGGCAGCACCTCATCATTTTTAAACGGGTAGAGATGCCACAGTTTTCTGGGAGTATGTGCTTCTGGGGGCTCAGTGTATTTAATTACTGCACCCAGAAAAGTGTTGGTGTCCTCAAGAAGCGCCCCAGAAAGTTCAAAGCTTGGTTTTTCTTTAACAGTCACCTCTTTTTCTTTGTTGTTGCCACCAGGCCGAGGAAACAACTCCTGAGACTCACTGCCACCGCCACCAGCGTCATTCTTCTGGCGATGCCCCCCGCCTGGCATTGTGAAACTCCAGCTGGTCTTCCTGAGCCTGCAGGTTCTGAGTGTCTGGATCCCGTCCCTGACCCTGCCTACTCCCAGGCCTCCCGTTAGACGTTTTCCTTCAGAGGGAATGGCCCCGGTGTCTGTCCCGGTCACTGTTCCTAGCTCTCCTGTGTTCCTGTTTTCACGGTTCCCTGTGCTGCCGATCCTCCCGTCCTCCCTGGGGATGATCCTCAGGCTCCTGCTTCACTTTGACTGTTAGTGGTAAGGACTTCGGGTCCTCTTAATCCGAGCAGACTTGCTTCTTCTCCCTGGGGACTTGTTTTTCTTTTTTTGTTGGGACCGGCTAAATCCTCGGGCTTGGTTCCCACGGTGGCCCGGGCGGCTCAGCTTGCTGGCTACTGCTGAGCGGTCTGGCCGATGGTGGGCAGGATGGGCCGCTTCTGGGCTCTCTCACTAAACACGAACTCCCTGATAGTAGACAGTGTCTGGGCTTTATTTCTCTCTTTAAGATAATTGGGGTGTACAGTACAGTGGGCAGAGGGATTGGTGGTGGGGGTCCCCAAGACTACCCTCAGGTTCAGGGACACATCAGAAAAACTTGAAGAATTCAGAAAAGCTATTCTACACATGATTATAGTTCATGACAGCAAAAGTACACAGGACAATTAGCAGAAGTAAAGAGCACATTAGGCCTGGCACGGCAGCTCACGCCTATAATCCCAGCACAGTTTTGCTCTGTGGCCCAGGCTGGAATGCAGTGTCCTGATCTTGACTCACTGCCACATCAGCCTCCAGGGTTCAAGTAATTCTCCTGCCTCGGCCTCCCAAGTAGCTGGGAGTATAGGCACATGCCACCATGCCTGGCTAATTTTTTTATTTTTAGTAGAAACAGGGTTTCATCTTCATCATGTTGGCCAGGCTGGTATTGAACTTTTGGCCTCGGGTGATCCATTTACCTCAGCCTCCCAAAATGCTGGGTTTGCAGGCGTGAGCTACCATGCCTAGCCTGCGTTTCCGGGTGATCCATGCACCTCAGCCTCCCAAAATGCTGGGATTACAGGCGTGAGCCACCATGCCTGGCTTGGGTTTCTTTATAAACACGTCTTTAATATTTTACCGCCTTGGTAATTTTTTTTCTTTTTACTATAAAAAGCATATACCTCTAGAAATTATGAGATGATATATTCATAAAATGTGCTAATCTGCTACAAAATGCCGGCATGACAAACAATTCACAACTGTCTACTTCCTAGTTTTCTCTGCAAAATAAAGGTTACAAATAGATAAAAATATATATATGTACATGAAACTACTAGAAATAAGGGTGAAAAGAAACAAATTTGAGAGAGGGCCCAGTGGTTCATACCTGCAATCCCAGCACTTTGGGAGGACTAGGTGGACAGATCACCTGAGGTCAAGAGTTCAAGACCAGCCTGGCCAACATGTCTGGCCAACATGTCTGGCCAACATGGTGAAACTGTCTCTACTAAAAATAAAAAAATTAGCCAGGCATCGTGGCACATGCTTATACTCCCAGCTACTTGGGAGGCAGAGGTTGCAGTTGAGTCAGGAACATGCCATTGCACTCCAGCCTGGGCAATGAGAGGGAAACCCCATCTCAAGTAAAACAAACAAATAAACAACTTTACATTATGCAAAGGATACAAGGAATATAAGATGGGTTTTTGTTAAGGTAAAAAGTATTTTTTCCTAAAGTGGTTGTAATAGTGATTATTTAAAGATTGTTCTAGAAGAAGCAAGAGAAAAGTGTACAATTGAATGGATATAAGAAGCTGTAAAAGGTCTGTGGAAAAGAGAAAAACCTCATGTTTTCAAGCTGATTATGATAAAGTGGATTTACTTACAGGGTATTAGAATGAGCCTTAATGTCAACAGTGCACTGATGCAAAATTAGAGTTTGGTTTTCTCTCTCTTAAAAATGACAGTATACGGGCTGGGTGCAGTGGCTCACACCTGTAATCCCAGCACTTTGGGAGGCTGAAGCGGGTGGATCACCTAAGGTTTGGAGTTTGCAACCAGCCTGGCCAACACAATAAAATCCCATCTCTACTAAAATACAAAAAGTTAGCCACGCGTGCTGGTGGGTGCCTGTAATCCCAACTATACTCGGGAGGCTTAGGCAGGAGAATCTCTTGAACCTAGGAGGCAGAGGTTGCAGTGAGCCAAGAGCGAGCCATCGTACTCCAGCCTGGATGACAGAGCAAGACTCCGTCTCAAAAAAAAAAAAAGTGAGAAATTCACCCAAATCTATAGGTACAGCAGGTGCAGTTTGATGTTGAGTTCTTCATTTGGCTTCATAGCCCCAAGAGGCTTTTAAAATCTAATGTGATTCCTGGTGCGGTGGCTCATGCCCATAATCCCAGCACTTTGGGAGGCCGAGGAGGGCAGATCACGAGGTCAGGAATCCAAGACCAGCCTGGCCAACATGGTGAAACCCTGTCTCTACTAAAGATACAGAGAATTAGCCAGGCGTGGTGCCACATGCCTGCAATCCCAGATACTTGGGAGGCGGAGGCAGGAGAATTGCTTGAACCTGGGAGGCAGAGGTTGCAGTGAGCCAAGATCATACCATTGCAGTCTAGCCTAAGTGACAGGGTTAGACTCCGTCTCACAAAAAAAGAAAAAATTAAGGTGCGATTCCTTATAACAATTGCTACAAAACAAACTTTAATAAGCCCATGTAGTCAATTACTATTCTTGCTGTACTTATATAAATAATCAGGCCACACTTAATGTGTTAAGACTTGTTTTATAAACAAGAAAAATACTGCTTTAATTATCTGATCAGAGAAGGAGGTGACTGTATAGAGATTTTATGTTACCACAGAAAGTCCATTGTTAGGGGTTATCAGATTCTAGTCCTGTTTGTTATTTCTAGGCTTCTATTATCTAACTGTATATTGGACTGCACCATGTTCCTTGCACACTTGTTCAGACCCCACCAGTTCTCCATTCTTGTGACTTCCTTCAATTTCTGGTCACTGCCCTCCAAATTAACATTTCCAAATATTCTCCTACCCACTTGAGACTTGGCATCACTAAATACTGAGACCTGACTACCCAGATCTTTATTGGGGACCCTAGCTTGTCTTGTAGCTGCCCCTTTCCACAGAGGATCTGTAAAAGGCCTGCAAGCTTAATGGATTGGCTTGGTAAAAACTTAAAGGACTCATCGCAGCAGATCACGTATGGGACGTCATCACCAAAGACATTCAAACTGCAAAATGGAAAATCCGCTGGATTGCCACTGCCATCCTCATTCCACTCTCTAAAAATACTGTAAACCCAATGTTTCAATTCTGGACCCAGAAATTCTACCTTTTTTTCATCTATTCATCTTTTTCTTTTTGTTTTCTCCCTGTTTTTCTTTCTCTTTGACAATTGATTATCTGACAACTTCTAGCCCAAGCCTTCTGTCTACAGTAATCAGCTCAGCCTCTTGTTTGTGAAATACTTTAGGAAGTTTCAAGTGTTATAAATAAAGGGGTTAGCAGCCTGTGGCATAAAAATTGCTTTAAACCTGAAACATTTGAACAGTAAGCAGCCGTGGATAAAATACTACCTCAACTTAAAGAGAGCCTCCAGAAAACACAGCTGCCATTGACCACCACCCATCCCCAAGGAAGTTTCCTGCTTGGGAGAAGATTGAACCTATTGGGAGAAGACGGGGGAAGTATGAATTCAGCTGCTCATTAGTATGAAAAAGACCAATAGGCCCTTTCATACTTTCCAACTGAAGCCCTAGCCCCTTCCATTTTGTTGAGTCAGTATGTAAACTTTCATCTGGGACTATTCAGTGAGCTACTCGTTACTGAGAACTCCTACATGCATATTACATCTTCTCCTGTTAATCTGTCTATTGCGAGTCTTGACTAGTCAGACATAAGTGGGTAGAGGAAGAGTCTCTTTCCCAACATCAATAATTATTTTCTAAAAGGAACTAGTTAAGAAATAGGAAGGTATAGCATAAGCATGTTGTCTATAGTTATAAAGATAACCAGTAGAAGACCTCAAAAACATATTTATGAGATTTTTTTTGAGGAAATGGGAATGGGGTTTGAGAAGACAGAGGAGGGACAGTTCACATGTTTTTCTTCATAAATTCTTCCATAGTATCTGTTTTCTTGATATGCACATATTACTTTGATAAAAGGAAAATGAAAGGGGTGAAATGCAGAATGCAAACTAAAAATAAACTTCTAAGCCCCTGAACTGACTGAATGAATCTCCTCCTAGCCTAGGGGATCCCAGCGAAACCTTGAAAACTGAGTTCGGCCATTACAGGATGGGAGGTTGGTCAGACAAAACAAGTTATACCTTCTCCTTCGCTAACTTTTCTTTTTCTTTTTTTCCCCCAACTGGAGTCTTGCTCTGTTGCCCAGGCTGGAGTATAGTAGCACGATCTCAGCTCACTCCAACCTCCGCCTCCCAGGTTCAAGTGATTCTCAGCCTCCCAAGTAGCTGGGATTACAGGCACGTGATCCCAACTACTTGGGAGGCTGAGAATCACTTGAACCTGGAGAATCACTTGAACCCAGATGGAGTTTGACCATGTTGGCCAGGCTGGTCTCGAACTCCTGACCTCATGATCCACCAGCCTTGGCCTCCCAAAACTCTGAGATTACAGCATGAGCCACTGCACCCAGCCCCTTACTAACTTTTCAAAAGCTCTACTGCTGTTATCAGCCAAGCACCTGACACTGACTGCCCTTCTGCAGTTTCCACAAAATAACCAACCAGCACTCCTTCCTGATAAGAGACCACCAACCATGGAGCCGTTCTGTTCAATCTAAAAGAATGTACAGTGAGGGTTTTCATGTCTTCTGATTCACCTTTTGATGTCAGAGGGCCAAAAACTCCACCCTCAGATCATGCTAACAAAACCATTTTTGGAACATGGGTCCTATGGAGATGTGTGAAGCTCCATTGTGTTTATGCATTGTTTCTCCTTTTATAAATATTCATGACTCCTCCCATAGCTTACTGACTATGTATATTCAGCCACCCTGCTCAGCATCAATTCCTGTTCCCTCTGCTCCTGCCTTGAAATGCCTGTTTCTGGCTTCTGACTGGAGGCTATGCTTCCCAGCATGTCAGAATGGCCACCCTGCAGGCTACAACCCTTTATGAGAAATAAAGCTCTTTTTTCCAACTGTGTGAACCTTGCCATTCTTCAGGTGACAAGAGGAAATGTGTAAGTCGTCTTTAGATATTTATGAA